TACATGTGTGTATATATGCACGTGTAGTGTGTAAATGTGTGTATGTGTACATGTGTGTATATGTATGTGTGTATACATGTGTAGATGTGTATATATATGCACACATGTATATGTGTGTATATACATGTATATGTGTATGTATATATGTGTGTGTATATATGTATGTATATAGTTGTGTATATATGTGTATGGTATGTATTGTGTATATATATATATATATATGTCTGTTTTCATAGTATTTAGGAATTTTACTTTATTTGGGAGCAAAAAATCTTTAAGAGTGAAACTCCATCTTTCCAAAGGCCGTTTCCCCCCCGGAGCAGAGGAAAGCCCACTGGCCCTTTCTAAGGACGCCAGCCCAGCCTAACTGCAGCCCTCCAGGAGGAGACGAGGCACAGCGAGAGAAGTCAATCTCACATCCAGGCCTGACACCAAACAGATGTGTGTCCCGAGTTGCATCCTCGGAACTGGCACTGACTGGGAGCTTCTTAGGAATAAAACCTTGTTCCAGCCCCGCCCCTTTCTTGACCTGATAGAAGAAATCAGAGGGGATCTGGGTTCCCTGTGTGAAATACTCGTCACTGTCTTGTTTGGGGACTGGCACGGGTCCTCTCACATTAAGGGGCTAAAAGCCGACCCCTCTTGACTGCAGCTGGATGGAAGGCCGGCTGGCCAGTTGCTCAGCGTGCTTCCTCTGTCTCTTGCTCGGACCACTCATCTCTTCCCAGTCTCTATGTGGCTTCTCAGTCCTGGTGCTTTTGGAAAATACTCAAACCCAGATCCCACCACTTGACTCAATCTCTAGGGGTGAGTACCAGGAATCGGCATTTTAAAACTACCCCCAGATGATGGTGATGTAATCCAGGCCAAGAACCACTGATTTAAAATGAGGCTTAAGGTGGGAGTTTGAGATTTGCAGATTCTAACTCCTATCTATCTATCTATCTATCTATCTATTAGATAAACAACAAGCTTATACTGTATAGCACAGGGAACTATATTCAATATCTTGTAGTAACCTATGATTAACAAAGAATATGAAAACGAATATATGTACGTTCCTATATGACTGAAGCACTGTGCTGTACACCAGAAATTGACACAACATTGTAAACTGACTGAACTTCAATAAAAATATATTTAAAAAAAAATAAATAAAACGCGGCTTAATTCCAGCCCAGGCCTAGCCCTCAAACCTAGCAGACCCCTAATGCTGCCCACACCCGCACCAGCAGTGCCCTCTGACTCCCTCCCTGTGTCCTGTCCCTTGGTTCTCCCTCCCCGTCACCTTTTCCTGTCCCCACGCTGCTCCAGACTGACCGTCCACCCCCTCCCTCTCCACTCTCAGGGCTGGTCAGCTTTGGACTAAATTGTTGAACTTTGTTTGGCCTCATTTCTGCTGCAGCGCATAAAACAGGACTTTCGCCTGCCCAGCCTGCTTCCATGGTGGGACTCGGACTTTGACAAAACCGTCCCCCTGTTTCACTGGTAAAGAAAAACAAGGTTCTGTCATAATATGAAATCACTGGGCTCCTGAGGGAGCATCAGCTCAGACCCAGAAGGGTGTAGCCTCTGTCTGTGCGCAGCTCCTGGTCCTCCCTCTGCAGCCAAGTCCCACACCCTACCCCCCACCCAAGAATGGCCCTCACAGCATGTGTAGCTGTTCTATGGCTAGCTTGATTCTGCTCAAGCGTATCTATTTTTAGAAAAAAAAAAGGAGGTAAATAATTCACAAACTTGGATGCTCTGCTACTAGAAGCAACTTACTAGCAGTAACAATGCCAGCTAATGTGTACTAGGCATTCAATACGTGGCAGGTGCTGCGAGGAACGTCTGAGTCATTGCATGATGGTGTGGGCTCATTTCATCCCCCAGCGTCCCCAGGAAGGCGTCCTCTTGCCCTGCACATTTGCAGAGGAGGGAGCTAAGGTTTGGAGTGGTCAGAGTCTCACAGGTGGACCAGGGCAGAGCTGGGATCCAAATTCTTATTTTCTGATGCTAAATTCCAAATTTGTAACACACTGTCACACCACATGGTAAGATGGGTGACACCAGTGTGTTGTGAAACTATAGCTGTGTTGTGGCTCCCCAGAGAAACAGCACCGGTAGGATAGATACAGGTAGAAATAGAAATAGATATAGATCTAGAAATGAAACTAGACATCTTATAGTTCGGTGCAGCCATTATGGAAAACAGTGTGGAGATTCCTTAAAAAACTACAAATAGACTTACCATATGATCCATCCCAATCCGAGGCATCTATCCCGAGGAAACTCTGATTTGGAAAGACACCTGCACCCCAATGTTCATAGCAGCACTATTTACAATAGCCAAGACATGGAGACAA